TGACTAACAAAAAATTACGCTTTTCTTAAAATAGGAAGAGCATCAATCGATTACATTTCGACTATATAAGAAGTTTGTACTGTTTTCAAACCAGTTATATGCCATAATATCAGTTAACATATCTCTTCTGTGAACTATCCTCTAAAATAACTAAAACCTAATTGTTGTTCCACTCGTTTTTCTTTTGTTTTTGCTCAATTTTTAATTCTTTAGAGTTTTATCAAAAAAAAAGTGTGAGTTAAAAAGCAAATTTTCTTTCAATATTTTGCCTCTGTTGTCATTTTATTTTTAAAGCTCAAAGAGTATCCTTAAGTAGCCAAAAAACAATACAAACTCTTAGCCATAACAAGGAAAAATATGAAGCCCAAAAAAGAGGATACTGAAAATGCATACAACTCAAGTGATTAACTTCGCGTAAATCACCGCAGCTGTTAACTAATGCTAAGATCTTCAATGATTATTCATTTAAAAAATTTGGCATGAGAATTGTGTAGTTCTAGAATTTTATGCCTTGCTAATTTACTAACCGAAAGAACTACTACGGTAAGCTGAATAAAGACTTCTCTACTGCAGAACAATTGTACAAAATGACAAAACTTTAGTGGCAACCGCAATCATTAGCTTTATTACGTTATGCTACTACTTTTATCATATTACTCTCTACTCTGTTAGGTAAGATTCTGTTACTTTTATTGATTCATAAATATAAATTTTACATGAAACAAAGCTTTAGGTAAAAATTTTTTTACTTAAGAAATAACCAATTTTGGAAGCTATTTATGTTCCGTGTAAAGTAGTTGTAGTGTTGACAAAGCATTTATTGAAAATACCAAAAAAAAGAATGATAAGACGATTTTACAGAAGAGAAATAAAACAGTAACTACTAGTGGAAAGCTATAAGAGCTGTTTTATATGTCTTTAGCAGATCTACCAACACTTAAAAATCTGTCAAATATTTTGCCAAGACAGCTGCATTCAAACCGGGAAAAATTAGCTAATTTTTCTTTTATTTGATGACAAGTATCATTTAAAGTAGATATTTTATTAGTCTCACAAAAAGTTTAAAATACATACAGAACCATAGTTTGCAAGAAAAAGCTTTTTTATTTTTAAGACCTCTACTTTCTTTTAAACCAATAAAACCAAGGACTAGTAATCGTAATAAATGTGCTTCTATTTCACTACAACCAGCGGAAGCGATAAAGCCGCTGGATTGAGAAGGACTCTACAAGAACATTTCAAATACTTTTTTTAACTTTTTAGTATGATTTTGTACTTATAAGGTACAAAAAAGTTAGAGCACTTGAAAAGGCTATCATTTATCACAGTGCGCTCCATGTGAAGTGACAAAAAATGCTGCAAAATTCTTCGTCTCTCTTTCATCAGGCCAGCCTATTTTTAACAAGCCACCGGAAAGGGACCGCCAAATATAAACGGTATTATTTGTAACTTTCTTCCAGTAAGCCGCTTAGAGCTTGAAATGAACACAGATAAAATAAAGAAAGAAACAGGTAAAGACAAAAAAAAAACACATAATTCACATGGTAAAGACTGTGCAACTGATTTCAATGAAGATGAACATTATAAGAAAGGCAACTAGAGTTTACCAATAGCTTTTTCTAAAGGGAATCATTGGTAAAACATTTCAAAACAAAAACAGCTTTTCAGGGTAAACAGTATCTATTTAAATGACCCAAAAAACAACTGACATTTCACGCATGATCTAGAAAAGAAACTCTGTCATTCTTTATTCGACCTGCTACATTCAATACATTAGTTCTTTAAAATTTAATATTGTAACTCACTATCAGCTCACATAATTCACTTACTTCCATATATTTAGGTGCTGTCATAAACCAGAAATTGATTGAGATTTTTGTTGTAACGTTGTGCTTATAATATCTAAAACATTTCATTTTTCTGATCAAGAGACCTCAATCACATGCTCTCGTCTTTTTTTCTTTTTCTCCGATACATCTTTGGGTTTTTTAGTAGAAAATTGGTGCTAAAAGAAAGAGACATAACAACAGCAATGAAAATGAGATTAGTCTGACAAACTTGGATTTTTCCAGTAATTTAGAAAAACACGTTAGATTTTTTTTTTGCAGGTACCTTGGTTGCTTGTTAAAAACTTTGTTTAAATTAAGAACTTTATAGGCTTTAGTGCTTTTTGACCAAATGCAGCGGGTTTTAGATTAATTGTAGGATTTTCTACGATATTTTCTACGATTTTCTACGATATATCTACGATTTCTACGATATTTTGTGGAAATGATAAAATTAGTTTGTTCAGAATGTTTCCTCCTATAGACCATAAAAAGAGGAACACAAACTTATCTCCAAACAAATAATTGACACATTTACTGACATAACAATCTAAATTTTTTTTCATAAATAAATACTCTGTTTCTGTGAATATTAAAAATAATAGTTGATCTGAAATGCAAATGTTAAAGAATAACAGCACTTCCCTTCCGGATTTGTACAAGTGACTACAGAAAAGATAAATTCCTCCCAACAACTTCACTAACTCTTTCACCTTCCTCTTTTCCATTCGTAAAAGAAAAGCTGAGAAGAAAAATAGCTTTTCCTTTACAAATGAAATAAAGTTAAAAAATATTTCGCATGTCAAATATAGTTTTTTTTACGTCTTTCATTTTTTTAACCTTTTATAGAAATACAAACTGTTAAATTTGCTTATTAAAAAATTTATAAAAATTTGCGTCTTTTTTATCAAACTTGATACTAATTTATACATGTTATACCAAAAGCATGAAGAATAACACATAGTTTAAGCAGTTCGTAAATTTGCTCGCTCTTCGCCGACTGTCGGTTTGTATCAAAACTTTTTAAAGCAATTACTGATTATCAATTCAATATTTTTACTTTCTTTTTTTTGACTGCAGCTAACATGAAGACATAACGGTTGAGTCAAAACCAGGAGCTTTATTTGGCGGTGTACAATGCTGTAATTTTTTAATGCATTAACTTTTTGCCTCAAATGTCTTCAACGTTCAGCTGAATTTATGATTTGCTTGACAAATTGAAATTTTTAAGATCTTGATAAATTGTCATCTGCAACTTTTGACATAAAAATACTCCTCCGTTTTTCTGACTCTTCTTAACACTATTCGGCTGTGAACAAGGCCGTCTGGGCTTACAAAAGTTGATATTATAGCCTGAAGTTCTCCAAATTAGAAGCTCAAAGTTCAGTCATTCTTAACGCTTGATCAACTAAAGTTAAGTTTAAAAGTTTCTAAATTTTTCAGATTTGTACATCAGTTTTGAACATCTAAAAGTTTATTTTATATTGTTCTACTACAGAAACTAAGATAATATGTAAATATCCCAATTAAAATTGCAATTAAAGAATATTTCCCATTTTATGTTTTTTTAAACTAACTGCGTGAAGTAATACTCAATTTCCTAAAACTTCCTAATAATTATACCTTGAAAAAAATTATTCTGAATTTGCAGTAATAGATTTCTTGCAGATTTTTACCAAACTCTGAATACGAACTCGACCAGACATATACTGGTAATCAAAAAAAGTTATAGATGAATTACAATAATTAAAAGGTTTACAAAAAACTAAAGTAAAAATGGTTGCTGAAAGTAATAACAACACGAATGACGCTGTATAATTAGATTTCTATAACCAAGACATAGTCGTCCAGAAGAAAATCTGACTTAATTTTAAAAGCAATAAAGCAATAAGAATTTGGTAAAATTATATTAAAAAAATGTGCTTAGCAATTCCTTCTGTTCTAAAATTATCAACCTGTATCAGCGCGACCACGTTCACACTATTTTTCTTAATACATTGGTCTAGGTTGACAAGCCAATTCTTTTAACTTCTAAGACATTTGAGCGTAACAGCTACTGTATAAAAGCTACTTTTTTTACCTTTTAATTCAATAAGCTATATTTTTTCCGTCAAAAACCAAAGAAAGAATTTGGAGGACAGCAGACCACATTTTGCTATTATACCTAAACGATTAATCAGTAATTTCTTTTCAATTTAACTGATATCATGTTAAATTTACTCGAATTGTTGAAAAGTTTTTGAAAAGATATTAGTAAGACAGCGAATTCTGTGGTACAATGAATACTAGTGTCCCCGGCAATTTCGCTGCATTTTAACAAAGAATTTACTACTTCCAGTTTTATTTCCGTATTTTTTTTCATAATTCACTTTATTCGACCGTTTTTATTGCTTTTTTTACCCGTATTTGTGTTTGGAAACCCAATGTGTACACAGCAACTTATTAATGTCGTTGTTGTTGCGGTTGTTAGCAGTTGTATCAGAAGTAATCAAACATTAGTGTTTCTACCAAAACATGCAAAAACAAACAAAGATTTACTGTTTAGTAGTTCCGGTAATAAGAAAAAAACCCCTCAAATATTGGTAAACCTGTCAAGTAGTTTTTCTTTTCATCCATAAATTTGTCTTTCCGTTATTGGACAAGGTAAATATTTGACTTTTATTTGCTTGCCACTAAAGAGCGTATATGATCAACTTGTTTTTGGAACTTTATTTCTTGGTTGGATACTACATAAGCCAACAAGTTTTCAAAAAAAAAGAAAAAAAATTGAATAAAAATTTCTTTTACTAAATACTTTTATATTTCAGTTACAATAAATAACAGTAAAACGTTGAAAGACAGTCATCTTCCTTATTATAGGATGACAATGAGAACAGATTAACCAGTAGAGACGACAAATAAAAAAAAAAAAGAATTGGTTAATTAGCTTAAGCTATCTCTCGCACTGGCTATTCCTGTCTTCAAAAACACCTTGTAATGCTTTTATAAAACATTCTTCTATTACAATAGCATATATAAAAAGCAACATTTTTTTGACCGAATTTAATGGAATTGACAATACGGAATAGTTGAAGATACTTGCAATATTGATGTATAATTTGGATAACATATTTATACAACATGACAGTTTATACAACTTGTAAAAAATTAGATAATTGTTGTAAAAGGTTTTGGTCAAAATCTTGAACCAGGAGCCGTGGTTCCATACGGCGGATAACCGGTTGGATACATTCCAACCTGAAAAAAACCTTTATCACTGAAAAATTCTAATAATTTTTAAAATTTTATAATCACCTGCTGAAATGAATCATAGATAATTGTTTGTAACAAAAAGAAAAAAATTTTTCACATTATTTCCATATTTGTTTAGATCAACAGATGACTGAAGATGTGACTCTATAAAGCAGGTTTTACTGCTAATAAGATAGATGTAAAACATGAGCAGTTTTACTTTCAGATTAAAGCAGTAACTCTTGAAAATTTCACTCAGCCTTCACGTTTATGACTGATATTTCCAAATATATCATATCTGAAATTTACCTGAGACCCATAAGAGTTGTATTCGTAATTTTCCTTCTCCTCTTTTCTTTCGTTACTCTTAGAACGCCAATAGCAAATAATCATTGTACAGGCTCCAACAATAAAGACAAGTAAAACGAAACCTAACAGCACAAAAACACCTGCCATCCTGAAAACAGCAACAGAAAAAATAGCTATGAGTAACAAGGACAAAAAAAAAAAAAAA